GTTCATAGTCGCTTTTTTCAGTTGTTCCATTTGGCTTTTATTGATTTGTGAGAGACTGCTGTTTATGTTCTAAGTATTTTTTATTGTTTTCTACCTCTTTTTTTTTTTTTGCTAAAAAGTATTTTTTAGATATATAAAAGTTGTATTTCTTCTGTAGTTAAATCTGCATTTCTTCTTCTGGTATCTTTGTGTGCTTAGAAAAACCTCTAGAGGTTATTTTGGGGTATGCTGTGAAGAAGTATCTAAATTTATTATTAATTCAAATTCTCTAAGCAGCATTTATTTCAGTAATTCTCCCCTTTTTACTTGCTTGAAATGGCCCATGAGGCCATCTCAGTCTGATTTCTACCTTGACAACCTCATGTGGCTTCTGTCCTGCCCCTTGCGCCTTGTTCCAGCTGTGTACACACTTCCAGCATGTCCTTCCTCCCCAACCCTTTGTACGTGTGATTCCTTCTGTCTGGACAGGTTCCCTGCGGCACCCTGATACCACATGTATCTGACTAACCTTTACTTGTCCTTTAGTTCTTATTTAAAATAGCAGTTGTTCATGTAGGCTTCTCTGACCACTCCCCCATCGTGAAAGATCTCATAGCTTTTATCATGATTTATGATGAGAAAATTAAAACTCCGATGGATCCCTAGTGCCTGACACTTAATACATACTTAGCCGATGACTTATAGCCCAGTCATACATTTTGACATCTGTAAGTTCGGTTGTATTTGTCTATTTCTAACATTTCTTTAGTATTCCAGATCTGCACTATCCAGTTTGGTGGCCACTGACCACATGCGACTATTGAGCACATGGAATGTGGTTAGTCCAAACCGAGCCATGCTGTGTGTAACATACACATCAGAGTTCAGAGACCTAGTGTGAAAAGAATGTCAATGTCTCAGCTTTCTAATATTGATTACATGCTGCAATGATGTGTTGGGTGATATAACATATTACTACAATTTATTTTTTTAACTTTTAAAAAATGTAACTACTAGAAAACATTAAATTACACATGCAGTGTCTTATATTTATGTTGGACCACAGTGTTCTAGATGAATTTTAAAATCATTTTGTCAGGTTCCTAAGAAAAGATTTCATCAGGCTATGTTATATTTATAAATTAATTTTGGGGGTAGAGTGTCTCTCTTTACAGTATCGAATCATCCCGCCAGAACCATGTTCCCTCTCTTCATTTATACAGGCTTTTGTCCGTATTAAAGTGAGTTGTATTTTTCTTGTTGACCCTGTTTTTTGCTTATCTTCCCCCACCCCTAGGTATTTTCTAGTTCCTGTTGCTATATTGTTGGTTGCACCTTATTGTCATTATCTTACCTGTTTTTTATGTGTAATTTTTTGAAACCCTCCACTTAGTAGATGCCGATTCTAATATTTTCCAAGTGATTCTCTTGGGGCTTCTGTGTAAATAATCTGCATGTTACATCTGCACGTAATAGTCATTTTGTCTCTTTTTTAATGGCTGCTTGCCTTAATGTTCCCTTGTCTTGTTGCTTTGGCTAGAAGTTCTAAAATAATGTTAAGTAAGAATCATGATGGCAGATAACCTTGTATATCTTCCCAGGCACTGATGGGAATGACTTTACTAAAGTATTTACCGAAGTGTGCTCCAGGGAACACTCATTCTTGGGAAATATTAATATGTGTACCTTGAGAGAACAGTTCCACCATTAAATGAGTTTGCGAACTGCTGAGTTAAGTAGGATTCTTGTCTATAGGACTTTTCAGATAGGATATTATGCTAATGTGTGTTTTAATCCCTAGGAGGTGAGGATATTGGGGCCAGCTCTTGGGCTTGGGTTCTACTAAATACATTTTGGGAAATGCAGACATCATGTTTCCTTTTTTTCTTTCCCTCCCTCCCTGCCTTCCTTCCGTTCCCTTTTTTCTCCCCCTTCCCCTTCCCCTTCCCCCCTTCCTTTCCTCCCTCCTTCCTTCCTTCCCTCCTTCCTTCCTTCCTTCCTTTTCCCTATGAAGTATACCAACATACGCAGTGTTTCCTTTTTAAGGATAATGTTGCCGTTGGTTTGTAGTAGATACACTTTATTATATTAAGAAACTATTGTTCTGTTTCTAGCCTATTGAGTATTTTCCCCTTACTCTGAAAGGGCATTTAACTTTCTGTCACATGCATTTTTGACATAATATTGATTTGGTCATATGGGTTTTTCTCCTTGACTTATTGATGTTGCAAATTATATTTGTCTATTTATTTCTGAACATGTAGCCATCCTTACATTTGTGAAACAGCTGTTCTTGGTCATGATATATTATTTTAATAGGTTGTATTTGCTAGCATTTCTGTTAGGACTTTAAAATCTATTTATTTAGATGAAGTAGACAGTTTTCTTCTTTCTGCTATTTGTCATCTTCTGCTATCAGATTTGTGCCATATGAACTGAGATGCTTTAAATGTTTTTACATGCATCTAGAACAGTGTGAACGGCCTGAAGATCATTTGTGCCTTGGCACTTCTGTTTCTTATTTAGTTCTGCCAATTTATGTTATCCTAAAAATATGTTCATTTCATACAGATTTCAAATTGATTTCAATCATAAATCTAGGATAAATAAGGGCGCAGTATTCCTCTTTGACTAAAATGTTTTAACTCAAATTTTGATGTGATTTAAAAAAAAGTTCGGACATGATCTAGGCACATTTAACTGATCCTTTCCTGTGAGAGTCTTAGATTTAGTTGCATGTTGTCTTGTCTTGAAATTTAAAAATTCCCTCTGTGATTATGTGCTGTTTTTCTGTATTAGTTATTTTCCTACTGTCTTTGGGCATCATTTGTTTTTCCTTTTCTGACCTCCTGAGTTCAGCCGTTTCACTTATTTTTAGTATTGATTGTTTAATGATTAAAACTCTTAAGGCACTGACTTTTCCTGTTACAGCTTTTTGTTTTTTTTTTTTTTTCAAAACTCCCAACATTTCATTTTGAAAAACTTCAAACAGAAAAGGTGAGAGAATTTCACAATAAGTGCCCAAATATCCACCATGTAGACTCTACAACTGTTAACTTTTTACTGTGTTTGCTTTATCATGTATTTGTCCATCTCTTTTTTGGAGATACATTCTCAAGTAAGTTGAAGACATGAGTAAACTTCACTCCTGAAGCCAGATTTTATGTGTTTTCTCATTGTCTAAGTAGTTTTATTCCATTTAGATTTTTTTCTGATCTAATACTTAGGAGGTATTTACATTTCTGTTGGTCAGGTTTCAAAATATAATTGTTAGATCTGGTTTTGTTGTGTTTGGGTGAGAGGATGGAGCCTGGGCTATATATACGTAAGTAGTTCTGAGCAGTCTGGTGCTGCAGATGTTTAGGCCACAGGAAGGAAACCTGTTGTAGGTGTACCACAGCTGTGGCACACACCTTTTGATGTGTCCGTCACCCTTTCATTCCTGTTGTCTAAAATAACTACTGTTTAAAAATACTGTCTTGGCCGAGTGCGGTGGCTCACGCCTGTTATCTCAGCACTTTGGGAGGCTGTGGCGGGCAGATCACTTGAGATCAGGAGTTCGAGACCAGCCTGGCCAACATGGTGAAACCCCATCTCTACTAAAAATACAAAAACTAGCCGGGTGTAGTGGCGGGTACCTGTAGTCTCAGCTATTCAGAAGGCTGAGGCAGGAGAATCACTTGAACCCAGGAGGCGGATGTTGCAGTGAGCCAAGATCATGCCATTGCACTCCAGCCTGTGTGACAGAGCAAGATTCTGTCTCAAAAAAAAAAAAAAAAAAGTAATAATAATATTAATAATACTGCACTGAAGGAGACTGAGCATAGTAAGTCTCAGCCAAACCAACCCAACCCAAAAGAGATATAAAGGTGTACACAGCTGAAGGGCAAACACACAAATCAAGACAGTAATACTGAAAAGGGTTTGGCTCCATTTATTGTATCCAGTGTGCTGCATAGTTGAAAAATACCAATCAGAAATACACAAGTAAGACAGAACATTTTTAGATGAATTTAGTTTTGTTTTTGTTTGTTTGGTTTTTTTTTGTTTTTGAGAAGGAGTCTCATTCTGTCGCCTAGGCTGGGGTACAGTGGTGTGCTTTTGGCTCACTGCAACCTCCTGCCTTCTGGGGTCAAGTGATTCTCCTGCTGCAGCCTCCCTAGTAGCTGGGATTACAGGCGCACAACAACACACCAGGCTAATTTATTTTTCTTTTTTTTTTTCTTTTTTTTTTGAGACGGACTCTCGCTCTGTCGCCCAGGCTGGAGTGCAGTGGTGCAATCTTGGCTCACTGCAAGCTCTGCCTCCTGGGTTCACGCCATTCTCCTGCCTCAGCCTCCCGAGTAGCTGGGACTACAGGCACCCGCCACCGTGCCCGGAAAATTTTTTTTTTTTTTTTTTTTTGTATTTTTAGTGGAGACAGGGTTTCACTATGGTCTCGACCTCCTGACCTTGTGATCCACCCGCCTCAGCCTCCCAAAGTGCTGGGATTACAGGCGTGAGCCACCGTGCCTGACCACACCAGGCTAATTTTTGTATTTTTAGTAGAGATGGAGTTTCACCATGTTGGCCAGGTTGGTCTCAAACTCCTGACCTCAAGTGATCTGCCTGCCTTGGCCTCCCAAAGTGCTAGGATTACAGGTGTAAGCCACTGTGCCTGGCCTGAATTTAGTTATTTCAAACCCTCAAAAGTACTTGAAATGGGGAAATATTTGTCCTAAAAGAATACCGATTTCTCAGAGCCAAAATAGTCCTACTCTGTGTAAAATATTTTACTTTTGATCAAGATGAATGTTAGGCAACGGTGACACTAGGCTAATTGATCATTAGTTTATTTGGCTTTTGGTGAAGTAACCGAAACGTGAAAGACTAAAACAAGGGGAAGAATGCTTCAGGTAGATTTTAGGAGGTTTGATAGCCACAATGGTATTGTCGTTGTAAGCTTGTGTTTATGCCACTTGTACTTAGTGAGGAGTCACTGGTGAATGATGCCAACTCTCTCTCTCCGCAGAGTACGCTTCATGTCAGTAGAAATGGACAGCAGCAGTTTTATTCAGTTTGATGTGCCCGAGTACAGCAGCACCGTTCTGAGCCAGCTAAACGAACTCCGCCTGCAGGGGAAACTATGTGACATCATTGTACACATTCAGGGTCAGCCATTCCGAGCCCACAAAGCAGTCCTTGCTGCCAGCTCCCCATATTTCCGGGACCATTCAGCGTTGAGTACCATGAGTGGCTTGTCAATATCAGTGATTAAAAATCCCAATGTGTTTGAGCAGTTGCTTTCTTTTTGTTACACTGGAAGAATGTCCTTGCAGCTGAAGGATGTTGTCAGTTTTCTGACTGCAGCCAGCTTTCTTCAGATGCAGTGTGTCATTGACAAGTGCACGCAGATCCTAGAGAGCATCCATTCTAAAATCAGCGTTGGAGATGTTGACTCTGTTACCGTCGGTGCTGAAGAGAATCCCGAGAGTCGGAACGGTGTCAAAGACAGCAGCTTCTTTGCCAACCCAGTGGAGATTTCTCCTCCATATTGCTCTCAGGGACGGCAGCCCACCGCAAGCAGTGACCTCCGGATGGAGACGACCCCCAGCAAAGCTCTGCGCAGCCGCTTACAGGAGGAGGGGCACTCAGACCGCGGGAGCAGTGGGAGCGTTTCTGAGTATGAGATTCAGATAGAGGGGGACCATGAGCAAGGAGACCTGTTGGTGAGGGAGAGCCAGATCACCGAGGTGAAAGTGAAGATGGAGAAGTCCGACCGGCCCAGCTGTTCCGACAGCTCCTCCCTGGGTGATGATGGGTACCACACTGAGATGGTTGATGGGGAACAAGTTGTGGCAGTGAATGTGGGCTCCTATGGTTCTGTGCTCCAGCACGCATACTCCTATTCCCAAGCAGCCTCACAGCCAACCAATGTATCAGAAGCTTTTGGAAGTTTGAGTAATTCCAGCCCATCCAGGTCCATGCTGAGCTGTTTCCGAGGAGGGCGTGCCCGCCAGAAGCGGGCCTTGTCTGTCCACCTGCACAGTGACCTGCAGGGCCTGGTGCAGGGCTCTGACAGTGAAGCCATGATGAACAACCCCGGGTATGAGAGCAGCCCCCGGGAGAGGAGTGCGAGAGGGCATTGGTACCCGTACAATGAGAGGTTGATCTGTATTTACTGTGGAAAGTCCTTCAACCAGAAAGGAAGCCTTGACAGGCACATGCGACTCCATATGGGAATCACCCCCTTTGTGTGCAAGTTCTGCGGGAAGAAGTACACACGGAAGGACCAGCTGGAGTACCACATCCGGGGCCACACAGATGATAAACCATTCCGCTGTGAGATTTGCGGCAAGTGCTTTCCATTCCAAGGTACCCTCAACCAGCACCTGCGGAAAAACCACCCGGGCGTCGCTGAAGTCAGGAGTCGCATTGAGTCCCCCGAGAGAACAGATGTGTACGTGGAACAGAAACTAGAAAATGACGCGTCAGCCTCAGAGATGGGCTTAGATTCCCGGATGGAAATTCACACAGTGTCTGATGCTCCCGATTAAGATGGTAAAGAAGTGCACCCAAACAAAGCACATTAATCAATGCATATTTGTGATTTGCTTTGTTGTAATCTTTGGTTTTCCCAACCATCTGGAAATCTCTTGGTCTCTTGGCAGTTTTTCTAAAGTTTCTGGATGGAACACTTCGTTGTGTTTATCCTTTCCCCTGCCCTCCCTCCCCGAAGGAGCTCAAAGCATGAAGGGCAACGCATCCAGGGAAAACACAGGCTGACAGTATTCCTCTTTGGCTGAACTCTTAATCCAAAACCTGCCAGTGATTTAGCTATGCCAACTGGTTGACCCTCCATTCTCTGCCAAGAGGCATACTCTGTCTCATTGTGTGCGCTGGCAGCAGTGCACTTCCGTGGAGGGAGATCAGGATGCCGTCAGCTGATACAAATGGGTAACCTTTTCTAATTTAAAATTCCTTTTAGGGGGTAGTTAGACAATTTATATATATATATAATAAAACTATTATTAGTTTTGAGATGGAGTCTCACTCTGTTGCCCAGCCTGGAGTGCAATGGTGCGATTTCAGCTCACTGCAACCTGTGTCTCCTGGGTTCAAGCGATTCTCGTGCCTTAGCCTTCCAAGTAGCTGGGACTACAGGCACTCATGCCACCACGCCCGGCTAATTCTTGTATTTTTAGTAGAGACAGGGTTTTGCCACGTTGGTCTTGAACTGCCGACCTCAGGTGGCTCGCCCGCCGCAACCTCTTTAAGTGCTGGGATTACAGGTGTAAGCCACTGCACCCAGCCCAGCCTATGCTAATATATTATGAGTTTCTAAATGAAGGAATACTCCAGTAAGTAAAACCAACATAGCATTTGAGGTTTGAGTGAGCACCCTACAATCTCTTGTTCTGTGTGTAGTTTCTAGGTATTTCTAAGGTCTGACAAAGAGAAAATTCTACCATATTACTAGCAATTATTTAGCATCAAACTAAATTTGAAGATTGATACAAATTATTCCCATACAAAGACATTTTGGAATTTTAATCATCATCGAGGATTAAAGGTTTATTTTATAATCCATTTCCTTCTTGGGAAAGGATGATTAACCCTATAAATTTTGCCCTTTTAAAGGTATGTTAAACTATGTATACCTACCTATAGGAAGGAATTTTAATAAATGACAAAGGCTGTATCTGGGAGAAGCAACTTGAAAAGGATCACTGGAGAAAAGACATATAGTGGCATACAAGAATAAAGGTAGACATTGTGGAAGGAAATATGGAATCATTCCAGAGACAAAGGAAGGAAGAGGGACATTAACATGGGCACTACAGGCCCCCCAAAAACAAACTGAAATTGACATTGGTACTTCAGATTTCACCAGTTATATATGCACTAATTTATGTGTGCATGCATAATAGCTCGATGCAATTTTATCACACGTGCCGCCTTATGTAACTACCATCACAATCAAGATGGTTAACTGTTCTGTTGCCACAAGACCCCCTTTAGAGCCATGCCATTCCTTCTTCCTATCCTTAACTCGTAGGAAACACTGTTTTCCTTCTCATGCAACTATTCTGTCATGAGTACTACATAAATGCATTACATGTTATGTAACTCCTTCACTTTTAGTAAGAACATTTCTAAATGTTCTCCTAAACGTCCTCCTAAAACCAGACCACTTTCTTTAAGGTCACATTTTTAGAAAAGTAAGCATTCTTCTTAATGATGAATTTTGTTAGTTTTCGTGTGTTTCCTCCTGAATTTCTTTTCCCTTAAATTTATAACTAATTCCTTTAAGTATTTTTTTTTTTTTTTTTTTTTTTTTTTTTTTT